TCCAAAACTTTGTGTTCTTTGGCTGAACTTTCCTAGAATGCCTGTCCTTGCACACAGTTACAGAGCCTTGAACCCTGACAAGGTGAGGACTATACAAAATGCAGCTGAGGCCATCACTTTCTTTTGAATGTGTGCTCCTTCACTCCCTTTATACAACGGCCTATGGCAGCAAACACTCAGCAAAGGTTCAGTTTGCATTTTACAGTAAGAAGGGCAGTTCCCAGCGCTCAAAAGGGCACCCAGCTGGGCATACCTGCAGCCAGGTTCAGATACGCTTGTCCTTCTGCCACCACGAGTGAATCTCAACTGCTTTTCTGCACAGCTTACACAGAAGTGAAATATGAATGCAGAGCATCCCCACATTAAAGTGGCCATTAGCCTCGTTGTTAGGGCATTTTTCCCCAGTGGGATGGGAGCCAATGGCCCTTAAATTGAGGAAAAAAATGAACCCAAGTCTCTCACTTTCTATTTTACAAAATGTGGTAGGTCTACCACTTAATGCTCTTTTCACTTCTCTGTAAAGAAAGGACATCAGCACCTCGCTTCAAGGCTAAGGTTCCCAAGTGGCCGGAAGTGTCACTGCTGCCCTGGGGGACAATTCCTTGAGCTCAGAAATGGTCAAGCTACTAAGCTCACACTGATTCTGAACGTTTCCTGCCAGCCGGTGCCAGGCAGCCGCGGGCTGACCGTGCCGGGCTCAGCTGCCCAGCCCGCTGCTCGTCCTGGATCCCATTAAGAGGTGCTTAACTTCCCATGGAGTCTAACGCGGGTTGTGGATTCCTCTCCTCTGCGTAATATCTGACAAGTAATCAGAAACAGAGCCTAGTCCACGCTCTAGCCAGCCAAAAATGGAGAAAAACAGACTGGCTGACATTCCACCAGTTGCATTCTCCCAGGCCTACCAATGCCTACACCGATGCCTATGGGATGACGCAGACATAAATTAATTTGGCCCAGTGTAATCACTTGTACTTGAAACATTCAGTTGATTACAACGAAAATAAAGTTGGAGTAGATATTATGAAACATTCAGGTCTTTCAGATACTTCACACTGCAACAGAAGCTGCAGTGTTTCTATGCAGATGTTTTGCTGAAGCTGGGATTGGAGCACCAGAGTAGTCAGAAATCATGAAAAAAATGAGTTCCCGAAATGTCTAAAACACTATATTCAAATAAAGATCACCTGCTAAACAGGAGGTACAACTTTTCAGCAAGTATAAACTCCTTAAAATAACATTTAAGATGCTGAGAATTTTTGCTCCAGAATAAATAGCACCGAAAATAACTATTTCAGATATAATCCTAAACAATTTTTTAAAGCTTGTAAACACCTGGGAAAAACATCACTAAGTGCTAGCACTTAGCCACGGGAGAATTTATTTAATTACTTCTATGGCACTAATGCTTCATTTTTTCTGTGCCTCTGATTATTCATCAGTGAAACAGGCATATTACTTGTTGTACTGAATGTTATGCATCTTTAAAGAACTTTGAGAGCCTCATATGAGAGATATTAAACACATATATAGATTCATACCATAACTAGTAATATACAATTTGCTTTCATCTGCAGAAAGAGTGTACCTTGGTCACTATAAAAGTGAGCATAATATCAGAAACACTTGCAATTGTTATGATACTCTGAAGGTTTTAGCAGTTGCAGCTCCTAGAGGTCCTTTTCTTGATAACACCACTGATGTACATTCCCTTTTCCTACTAACTAACCAGCTTCCTTTCAAATTTTTAGACATCTTTGTCAAGTAAAAATGTCACTCACCTGGCCTTAAGGCACTGAAAATGTAACTGATTCCAGGATCTGCTTCAGAATTCTGCGATACAGGTCAGCCAGCTTTGCTGAATTCAACCTAAGGAAGCTGTGTGAGATCAGCAATAGAAGCACTAAATTACCACTGCAGCTGTACTCTCAGTAGCATGATAGCTTTTCTGCATAGCTCAGGTCTATTGCAGCTCAGGTCTAAACAAGATTAGGTAGATGCTCCTTGCGCACAAAGCACTTGCAGTGCAGAGAACACTGCAGGTTTGGGCTCCCTTCAGCTCCCAGTCTAGCTTATGAAAAGTACAAGTTGGCAATTTCATGCGTCTCAAGTTTTAAACTGGTTACAACAAGGAAGAAAGATGGGTTAATTTCACTAAATGGTGACTCTCCCTTCACCCTTGGAGATATTTAAAACCTGCCTGGACAGAGTCCTGGGCAGCCTGCCATAGCTCACCATGCTTGAGCAGGGACATTTGACCTGGTGATCTCCTCAGGTCCCCTCCAACCTCAGCTGTGCTGTGATTTGTGTAACTGTAATTGTTGGCATTTCAAAATATTCTTCCTGCCTCATTTGCTGCCTAAATATATATGATCAAGTAACGGACTGATTACAACTTGACATGTTGCCACATATTAGCTGTGTCACAAGAGCAAAACTCTTAGCCTGCAGCAAAAATCAAATCATCTGCTTAACCTGTGTCACAGTGGATTTTACACTTGCCTCATCCTAGGCACAGACAATCAGATACTCAATTCAGATTAGCAGATAAACTGACTTTACCTCTGAACCTTTAGCGAGATAATTTCAGTGAGTGAAAAACCTCACCTGGGACCAACTGTTATTTTAAGAGATGTCAACCAAAGAGTCTCTAGTCTCAGACTAGGTCCCAGGAAAAGCTGTTAATAATTCTCACAAAAGGCCCACAACTAAGCAAAGCCCACAAGCAAACTGTAGTCCCACTGAAGGGAATGACAAAGGTCTTCTCACACCTTACCTGTCATCTCATGACATCTCAGCTGTCAGATAGAAATGCTGAAAATAGTTAAGGAAGAACAGAAGTTCTTCCTAAGTTGGGTTTCTTTCTTCTTTTTTTGAGAAACGTATCTGCAAGGTTATGTTGTTTTGGTGTTAAGTGCTGTTTTATGATAGAATGTTCCTGCAGTCTTGCCATTCTCAGTAACGTCCCTCCCCAAATAGGCACATGAAAAAAACGAAAGTATTACACATCAGTAGCAGGCCATGCAAACGCTAGCTTACTTTGCTTAAGCCTTAAAATAAACACACAACGTTTGCAAAATGCTATGACAATTAAAAATAATTTCCTAGGATTTGAACTTATGAAGGCAACCACTTATCTGAATGCAAAAGAGAAATAAGACATGATCACTTTGTCCCAAAGTAGTAAGATTTTACATAGTACTGCCTAAAACAATATTGGAATAAATAATGCTTTTGAAATAAAATTATATTGTTAAATAAATGCTGTGATCTTGAAAAAGATGAGCACTACACCAGCAGCGCCTAATGATTCCTCAAAGTGTAACCGGGGTCATAGGCAGGAAACTTCAGAAAGCACTACCTGAACTAAGTGCAGCGAGAAACTCACGTATGAGAAAGTACTGACCTATAGTTGCTTTCTAGGAGCACTTGCCTTCCTAACCCCTGCCACCGTCACTCCTCAACATGTAACACAGCGCTCACAGCCGGGGCAGGAGCTGCATAGAGCTGGTGCCAGGGGCAGCAGCGCAGGGACGCATGCACGGCGGGCAAGGGCCTGGCCTGCTCTTGGGCAGCTCACAGCAGTGAGCAGCGGCAGCTTTGCTGTAGTGCAGCAGGACTCCCTGTGCCTGTCCCAGCACCAGGCACTGGCATGCCTCGAACTGAAAAAACAAATTGTCTTTTCAGTGTTGCATTAGCAGAGATGGCCCCGAGTCAAATCCCCCTGCGTCTAGAGCACGTGGATTTGGGTCTCCACCAAGTGCGTCCTGGCACTTCCACAGCGGCACGCTGGGCCCAACACAGAGGGGCCCAACATCCAGCAGGGCCCCTCCGCCAGCCTCACCCAGCCCCTCGGCACCCCTGGGGCGACACAACAGCCTCCCTGCCAGGCCTGCAGCCTGTGACTGGGTCACCGCCATGTTCCCCCAGGGCCGCCACGTTCCTTCCAGGGCTGCCATGTTCCCCTCAGGGACACCATATTCCTTCCAGGGCTGTCATGTTCCCCCAAGATGCCATGTTGCCCCACGTCTGTCATGTTCCCCCAAGGCTGCCATTCTCCCCTAGGGCCACCATGTTCCTCCAAGGTGCCATGCTCCCCCAGGGCCGCCATGTTCCCTCCAGGGCTGCCACATTCCTGTGAGGTGCCATGCTCCCCCAGGGCCTCCATGTTCCCTCCAGGGCTGCCATGTTCCTCTGAAGTGCCATGTTCCCCTACGGCCACCATGTTCCTCTGAGGCATCATGTTCCTTTGAGATGCCATGATTCCCCCAGGGCTGCCACGTTCCTGTGAGGTGCCAGGTTCCCCCACGGCCACCATGTTCCCCTGAGGTGCCATGTTCCCCCAGTGCCACCCTGCTCCCCCGGGGCCGTCATGCTCCCGGGGCACCGCAGCCCTCCCTCGCCGCCGCACTCCGTAGGCCACCCGGGCGCCGCGGGGTGTCCGGAGGGCGCGGCGGCCCGCGCGGGATCTGCAAAGGCCGGGGCTGTGCGTGGAG